ACCCCTTGATGTGGAATGTACCACACATGTCCTGGTTTAGGTTCGTCTTCTGCTCTTTCAGCGTCACCATCCTTAAAGACACCTTCCATGAAATTCACATAGTCATTCTTGTATTTAGGATTTCTTTCCATCTTCTTCTTGAGGTGCTTTAGCCTTACCAAAGCCAGCTGCTTATTTTCTGGCAATTGAGGGCGTGTCTTGAAGGGAAGAGGCATCTGTAGATGTCCTTCTGCATTGTAGTGAATTGTTTGATGCAGCAATTGCATGAACTGTATGTCATCCTGTGATATGCTCTTTTACCCACGGTTCGTGTCTCTAAAGTCTGACTCCAGAGCTCTAATAACAGTGGCTGGGGTCAACGGTGGAACTTCTTTGACCGACACACGATGACACGAACCTGTCACTTCTGTTAACTTGCCGACCAGTGGTAAACTGCCAACAACGCTCCAGCCCAGGTCAGTCATGATGGCGTATGGCTCATCTTCACCTCCTGTGATGACTTGTCGTGGTGCCAGTGCTCTCGCACAGTCATAGCCTATCAAAAGGCCAACATCACAATCCATCAGCTCTGGTATTTCCTGGGCTATTTTATTCAAATGTTTCCACCGTTTGGCAGTGTCAGGAGTGGGAATGTGGGAACGGTCAAGGGGAATGAAGTCTCTAGTATAGACAGGTGGCAAGTTAATAAAGCTCTGTGAGGAAAACCCTCTAACTCTGAGACCACATACCCTATCACTCTGTATAATGGAATCCTTTCCCATCATAGTGGTGAGCTTTAACTTGACTGGCTCTAATTCTGCCCCAATCTTCTCACATACCTCCTGATCTGCAAAGGTGTTGCTACTCTGTGTATCCAGTAGGGCATACACCAAAGTCTCTGTTTCAGGTGTGCTGATCAAGGAGACCCATACGGGCACAATCATGGATGTACTCCCACCATCACCCTTTTTCACACTGCATGACAGTGATGATGTGTTTTCTTCGGCTTGTGCAACTTGCGAAGAAGTGTCTGATGTAGGAGAACGATCTTCGTGAAGTGGTGTTGGATGATGTTTCTTACATATGCTGCAAGTGGCTTTGTTTTTGCAGTCCTTTGAATTGTGTCCTCTTCTGAGACAGCCAAAGCACAAGTTGTTGTCCAATATAAATCTTTTCTTTTCTTGCACAGGCTTAGTGGCAAATTCTTGGCACTTGTGAATTGGGTGACTTTCTCCACAGCACATACATGTGACTGTGTTTGGAGATGAAAATGTGCTTGCTTTCTTGAATCTGTTAGTGTCTTTGGTGTTGTTCTCTATGCTACCATGTGTTTTTATCACAGTGGTTGATCTGTCAGACGCTTTCATATCTGTTATAAAAGCATTGGCCTTTGGTCGTTTTGCATCTCTAATTGTCCTTTCTTCATTGGGCTTCAATGTGTGACGGCCCGTGTACGGTGGCTGTGCGGGCAGACCCGAACGAAAAGGGGAGGCAGGAAAAACAGGTTATAAGGAAAAAGGGTTTTATCAATCAGGGTGAGGGAGTGGAGGTCACCAGGGACAGGAACCAGCCGCAGGAGTGTCAGTCGAGAGGGGTGCAGGTGGAGGTCTGTCTGTGCCGGGATCCGAGGAGGGGGAAGTGCCGCCGAGGTAGTGCTGGGGAGGGAGGCGTGGAGGAATCCAGGGACGGTGCGCGCAATGACGGTGTTCAGGGGACGGTGCTTGAGGTGCTTCTTCCCAGTGACGGTTTTCCCAGTGTTGGTGCTCGTAGGAGAAGAACTGAAGTGGTGGGCTCTGTGGTGAAGCCGGAGAGGGTTATGGCTGGTGTGGCTCGTGAGACGCTGGAGGCTGGAGTCGAAGAGGGAACGCTGGAGGCAAACAAAAACACACGAATTACTCGAGACTAGAAAATACTCAAACCTAGATACGATGCTTCGCTGAGGATAGCAACTAGGCGGCCTGGCAGTACCACTAGGATGAATCACGATCATCTGGCGCTGGAGATCTGTGAGACGCTGGTATTTCAGGTGCTCCGCTGATGAGCTGATGAGTAGCACCTGCCAGCGCGAGAAAGTCCTCTCTCCTTCGACTCCGCCCAGCCTGCCGAGAAAACACACACCCACCAAGACACAAAGAAAAAAACTACAAAACACAAACATATCCCATAACCCTCACACAATGCCTGAAAGGATGTTATGGGATTGCATGCTATTTCTGCTTCCTGTGCCACAAAATCAGCAAACTCTTTAAAACTGGGGTATTCCTCTTTCAGTTTCAGTTGCTTTGTGACATGACGATTCCAGCGTGAGGTCACCCAATCAGGGAGTTTTTGAAGTATCCTTCAGTTCTCTTCGCAGTCATTTAACACCTGTAGCCCTTTGACATGTGGCATGGCATTGCTGCAAACTTTCAGGAAATCACTAAACTGTCTGAGTTTAATTGACTCCCTAGAACCAATCCTTGGCCAGCCATTAAGCCTATCTCTAAATGCACGCTGCACTACAAAAGGGTGGCCATATCTAGCATTCAGGGCCTCCCAAGCTTGGTTATAGGCTTCATCATCCTTTCTGTAGAAACTTCCTTCTAATACAGATCGTGCCTCACCACTGATGTATTTCTGTAGGTAAAATAACCTATCAGCGGGATTTATGCATCGCCGCTCTATCAGTGCCCTGAAGCTTGTGCTCCACTCTAAGAATCTAAGTGGGTCCCCAGAAAAGACTGAAGGTTTGGGTGCAGGAAGTCTGGTAAGAACCATCGTGTCGTGTAGAGCTTGTGCTAATGATGCTTCGTTGATGGGGTTTGTTTCTTCATTGCTACTGTTCTTACATGCTTGTTCTATTTTAACTCCTTCATGAGCTGCTGGAAGACAATTTGCCAACTCACTGCGTGCTGCTCTATTCTCGTCCAAGGCCTCATCTGAATCTGCATCAGAGAAAACCTTAAGCTTTGCGGCTATCATTTGGAGATCTCTCTGATTTTCTAGTCTTGTAAGTTCTTGCCTTTGTGCAGCAATGGCCTCTTCCATCTCCATTTCAGCCTGTTTTGCAGCAAGTTGCGCAGCACACTCTGCTCTTTTTGCTGTGATGCTTTGCTGTTCTGATATACAACTTGAGCGGTGACTACGAGCTGTGGACTTGGAGCTGTTGGTCCCAAATATTGCGTGAGTGTACTCTCTGTCAAGCACTAAGTGAAGTCTTGCATTTTCTGCCTTAGCATCAAACTTCTCTTGCCCTGTTTCACTCATACGCACGTTCATGAGTCCCATTAAATCCCTTGTCACTGCTGTGCAGGAATCCATTCTTCTCCTGATCTCCATAGGAGGTGCTGCTTGAGATCTCATAGTTTCATACACCTCTCTTACTTGTTTTTCCAGCCCTTCAACGGCATCCATCATGTGACTTAAGTCTTGGTCAGAGCATTCATCCTTAAGTGTGCTACGAGAAGCTCTAACTTGCTCTTTCCAGTTTTCATACAGCTTGAGAAATTTACTGTGAGTCTGAGAAGCTTCTTGTTGCTTAAGTTCCAGCATTTTAGGTGTTAACTTTCTCTCACGCGAGGATTTTCTGGGTTCAACTCTGCCTGAAATGCTAGGGGTTGGCTTTGTGATATCTATTTTGCATATTTCTATTTTTGCATGTATTTCACCCATGAGCAACTCTAATCTCTCCCTTTCACTTTCATCAGTCTGTGACTGCAATTGTCCCTTTAGCCTAGTCAGTTCTGTTTGAAGCAACTTAATTTGTTCACTACATTCACCACCTAGTGACATTTCTCTGTGAACTGACATTGCATGTATTACCAAGTTACTGCTGAATATGCACACAACCCTGTACAACTGTGTAACTTTTAGTGCAATACAGGTTTTACCTCAGCAATTATTTTCTCTATTAAATCACTTAATATTCCATTAGATTATGCATCAAGACTCTCAGAACACAAATACCATTGAAACATTCAGAAACAACAATATAACTTTTTTTATGTCCTCTAGGTTGCCAAGGTAGTGCAATCAAACCTGCTGCGATCTGAAGACTAGTTCCCCTCTCTGCAGCGGGCAAAGGGCTGAGACAGACGCTGCACTCTAAAGTCTGTAGTCTGTATTTGCCGCGCTGTAGCCTCCATCAGTGAACGTTGCTCTCAGTCACGGTACTCTGCCGGTCGGCGTCCGAAGACGAAACTCCCGCTCTCTGCCGTGGATCAGCGATCCGCCTCTCTGACGGTTCCTCTGGCACGCTGCTACGATATTTGCGGTAGCTGCTCTCTTCTCCTCCGACATGCGCCGCTCTCGACTTGGGCCCCGTCGGCTGCACGTTTCTTCATCTTCTTCGTGCAGCACCGTAGGTTGAACGTTTTCACTGTAGCTGCACGGGTCTAACAAAAAAGGCCACGCTTCTTACTGATGTCAACGGAGGTTTATTCTTAATTCTTCTCTTCGGCAAACACCGCGTAACACCATGAAAACTAAACACAATAAACAAATGCACATTAAAAAACAGACATTTGTGGATCCTTCAGTCTCTAAATCATACCACATTATACATGAAATATAAACCAAAGATAATTACCCTTTGCGCCTCTTAAACCACATGCAGAATGGCGATAACTTCTATTAAGTGTCTCTGTTGCCTGTCCATGCCGATTGTGACCCACAATGCTGCTCTCTTAACCTTACTAAAAGTTAGTCATATGACCTGACTTGTCAAAATAAAACTCCGACACAGCGTACCCAACTTCTTAACTAAACTGGACCTTAAAGCGATGTATTTTTTAACAATCTGTTACATTCTTCATCTCAGTTCTCAATTATATATGAACAGCAAAACAATGAACTGACAGTCAAACACAAACCAAACACACACCACAACCTGTCTCTTAGACAGTTACAGAGAGCATTCCAGTCTAAGGCGTATCTCCTCATATTTACTGTGTCCCGGAGAGGCGGAGGTCTCAGAAAGGCTGACCATGTTCTCTCAAATAAACTATCATCCCCTTTCATTCGTGCAGTAAGTCTTTCTAAGGGTAAAATGTTATACATTTCTTGGTACCATTGTGTAACAGTGGGGGGCCTGTCACTTATTCATTGCTTTAAAATACATCTCCTTGCCAGAAGCAGAAGTTTGTCACAGAGTCTGAAATCAGATCTACACAGAGACAATGTCACGTCCTCTACCTCTGGTGTCCGCTAGTGGCAGGCTTTCTCCCTTTTTCTGCTCGTTCTCTTTTTCTCCTGCTCTCTCATTTCTCAGGTGGGCGTGAGAACAGACGGCGGTGAGGCTGGTGGCAGGTGTGTAGCATTGGTAATCAGCTGACTGGTCGCTGGGTGATTGGACGCCTGCAGCTGCAACCACTCTCC